TGACTTTCATATAGGATTTATCATCGGAGTTATAAAATTTAATTGAATATAAAAGATGTCCGAGTTTAGTGAATTGATGAATTTTTGGATATAAGGATAAATTTTGCTCTTCATTGAGCTTAAGAGTCTGTTTGAAGCAGTTGCAACTTATTAAACAACAGCTGTTAAGCTGCAGAAAAAATAATTCAATGTTCAAAAGGCTTGGTAGCTATTATAATTTTTTTTTTTTTGAAAAAGTTTGATCGTAGCTAGAAAGCTGCTACCACACCTAGTCATGATCAGTGAAAAAATACATATTTCAATAGTAGTCTTTTGAAAAAACTGTCAAAACACAGATTACCCAAACAGATAAACTGCGTTGCAGTGTCACATCGCTTTCCCAAAAGTATCCTAAATCTTAATTTAAAAAATCAAACAAAAATGGTGGATTCAACAGATTAAGGAGTTACAGATTTACCAAATCCTACTTATGCTAAATTCTGCTTGTAATCAAACACCGCCTTAATGTTAAAATTTATTAAAAATTAAGCACTAGAACGAGCAATTGTGCTATACAAATTAAAATCATGGCCTATATATATTTCGTTAAATATATGTCAGACAACTAATGAATAAAGATGAGACATATATCAATTTTGATGTCTGTCTTGACGTATGTGCTCTTATTGTTACGAGGATCGCTGATGAGGCGAGTTAGATTGGTGAGCCTGATTGGTCGTATTGTTTTGGCAATCCAGTTATTCAAGTCAGTCTGACAGGTCAACTCGACAGCTAGAGTTAAGCTGCTTCCCAGTAGATGAGACCGCTAAGATATGTCTTCAACCCCAAAAAAACCTATTTTAAAACATTCAAAATTTAAATTTTATTTTCAAATATTGTTTTATATATAATTATCAATTTTAGACATCACATTTCATTAAAACACACATTTATGATTTTTTTGGTTTTGTTTTTATGAAAGTACAAATTGGTCAAAGTCCGACTCCATGAGTCCTCATCTCATGTGATATATTAATGAGTCAAATTTGTGTTTATCTTGATTCAATTTATTAGCTTAAAAAATATTAATATAAAATAATTATTATAGTTTATTTTCTTAAATTATTAATATAAATATTATTTGGCCGGCTTCATATTAAATGCCCTTGATATTTTTCTTTCAAGTTGATAGCAACAACTAGAAAAATCCATAGTTAGATCTACTTTCTTCAAGTATAGAAACTTACAAAATCCCTTTCTCTCAGTCTCACAAGAGAACTCGTTGAAATCGTCCTCCTCGACCCATTGCTGTTTCACGAGAAACATGTCGATAATGTCACATGGGGGATTGTAATGCTCCATCTCTCGAATTGAATGTTTAAGAATTAAAACCAAACCAACTGCCTCGACGACATAATCACACCGAGTAGCGGCATAAATATTTCACCCGTTCTAGAAGAATCGGAGGAACGAAGGACCCCTGCGGCCTAGGACCAGTCCAAGCACAAACATAGGAGCGTTCATAGAAGTGAAGCAATAGCAATCCTTTGAGGCGCTAGAATTTTACACCCTTCGGAGGCGAGTCTCCATACTTTAATATGATATGTGTCATATCCTCATTTATGTAACCGCCTGACACAAATAACACAATATTTTCAACGAAACAGTTTATACATATTTCTTAAGTCAATGATTACCATTTAATATTTTCTTGAACAAATATAAAAATAAGAGTGAAGATATTGTAGATGGGATCGACTCTCCAAGATCTTTTTTCGGCAGATCTCATATCGTGATTTCAAACCTGCAAAGTCAGTAAATATCTTGAAGCAAGGCTTCCCTAACGACCAATCCTTTAAAATTGTCATGATTGGCCACGACATCCAACAAATCCCTCTTCAAAGGCTTCTGATCTGCTAGAAGAGTTGTTACCTGTCGATCAGTTTCGACTTGCCGATTTGTAGATTCTGTTAAAAGGTCTCGGTGAATCTTATCCACTCCCTCTAAAACCTTTATCCTTGATCGGAGCGCTTCAATGGTGCATGTCTCTACAGTGATATGAACCTTTAAGCTATAAAGGGCAGTTTCTAATTCAGAAGCCTAGTTATCATAAACAATGAAGGAAACACCACCAGTTGCCATCCATAGTTCATTTTTTCTCTCCTAGAAGCCATTGGAATGTTATAGGGAGAGGGAAAGGAAGGGTTATGAAAAAAACTGTGCTAGATGGTATACCTCCTTTAGAGGCATTCCTTTGACCATAGAGATTTCAGGATTTCCATCCTACCGAGATTTTGTCCCCTAGATCCTTTTACAGGATCTGTGCCTGATCAGACCAAAGATGTAAGAATCTAAAAGTAAGACAAACCAAGATAAACAAGCAAAGACCATTTACTCGTTACAATCACACCACCAGCAAGAGGAGGAAGTTCAACAAATGTGGAGGCATCTGCAAGATTGTTTAACGAAGTAGAGCAGAGGTAAAAGATGAAGAATGGCCCTATCTATTGCGAAACACACTAAAAATCCATTCTACTATGTCAAATCAAGGCTAGACATTCATGAAAAAAAAACTCTCAACAAACCTCAACAGGCAAGAAGAGGCCAGTGCACCCTAGGAAAAAATAAATTCCCGAATCATTAAATGAACAATCTGGGACTCTCCATGTCGAAAAAGCATAACAATGCTTCCAGGAGAAGTTTAGGCTCTGTTTAGCTGCACTGCCCCAAGAAGCTGCTGTGAGGAAGCTGCTACGGAGAAATTGACCGGTTGCTTCTTGACTTTCCTTTCATTATCATAAAGTTGGCAGCTTTATGGGGGTCAATCAATGTTGTCTCTCCTGTTGCATCAAAAAAGTTGCGTGGAGAGTTAACAAGATTGTAATAGAGATTAATAAGTTAGTAAGGAGATAAGATTACTTTCTCAATTATTTTTTAAGGAGAGAATAATTGAAAGGCAAGTTACAACAACCTTTCAATGTGAAATTCGATCTTTCAATCTTGAAAAGAAAATATGTTTCAAAACTAGTATTCAATAATTGTTTGTTGAAATGAGAGATTGGGTAGGTGTTCAGTCGAGTACTTTTTTTCATCCTGAAACAGTGTATTTTCTTGAATTTTGAATCCTGATATATCGTATATAAAGCTAGATTTCATATTTAGAGATTCTTACAGAAAAGTTACCGAGTCGATAGGGCAGGTCCCGAGAATTTTGGGGTAGGGATCAAGGACAAATGCAAAACAGAGACATCCACCTCAAATTTGATGTTAAGAGGAACATAAAAAATGCCACAAGGGTGATATGGCTTCACTCAATCTTCTCCCAAGTTAAAAGGCATTTAAAGAAAGTCATCGATATCATCATATTCTACAGACGAAACCAACTGTTTGAGGAATTAGGCAAATAATAAAGTGGATGGTGATGCATACCAATAGATGTAGCATGACA